CTACAACTACACTATTAATATAGCTGCAGCATGGCTCTACCACGTACAAAATCAGTACCTAATGTGGTAAATCCATTAAATAATAAATTAAATTTTCTTACGTTTGAAGTTTTGCTTTATTTTAAAACCGCGTCGAAATTTCAAATCGTAATTACTCACCACATGCGCGTGCTGCGTCACCTCTTCCTGCTCCAACGTTAACGTGGGTATTATTCTTGCAGCTACTTAAAAGCGGGGATCGATATTACGCGGGGAAAGGGGTAAACTAGTAAGTCAAGTGCCTGCCGGGTCCTCTCAGACCGCACGTCGGTACTTAATGGTTAAGTACCGATGTGTACGTGTTATTATATTATAAGAGCCATGGTAGTTCATGGGCTAAGCGCTTACCGTAATTTCACAGTATACGAGCAACCCGAGTTTGATCCCCACTGGTACCAATACCAAATACCCAATTGTAATTAACAATTTCAAGTGCTAATTTACTATGTGCACGGCAGTGAAGGAAAAGGTAATCTGCATTTATGAGGCATTAGAATATGTATTATTTCGAGCACAAGTGAAGTCCGCCCATACGCTCTGTAGCAGCGCGGCGGACTAATTTATCCATACCGCTTTAGTGGCCCAGCAGTGAGACGTATTTAGGTCGCAGCTTATTTTATGTCTCATAATATAATATAAAAATGTATCACAAAATTGAAACACAACTACTGTAAAAACCTTTTTTAACGGTGGCAGCTTGAAAGAACCCATCAACACATTTTGCCCCATGAATATCGTAAAAGGCCACTATGTGAAATATCAAAACCGTGGCAGTCTAGCCATCCCGCTAATACTACCTTTAATGCCAAAGGTGCGAGACGTCCTATTCGATCGTCTGGACTGGTTGGGAATCGTCAATATGAGGGTTCAGGCCTCTTCTCAATTCTCAAAGGTTTCGGAGTAAAATCTACCATCCTGCCCCAATAGAAGCTCTTTAATTCCGTCCTCCATGGTGGCATTACACCGAAGGCGTGGAGAAGAAGTGCGGTGCTCTTGTTCTTCAAGAAAGGCGACAACGCTCTCTTGAAGAACTACAGACCGATTTCCCTTCTGAGCCGCGTCTACGTGCTGTTTTCGAGAGTCATTACGAATCGTCTCGCGCGCAGACTTGACGACTTCCAGCCTCCCGAACAAGCCGGTTTCCGAAAAGGCTTTAGCACCATAGACCACATACATACCCTTCGGCAAATTGTAGAAAAGTCAGAGGAGTACAATTTGCCACTATGTCTGGCGTATACGAGGGCGGCACTGAAAATTTCGGGAATCAAGGAAGTGGCACAACATTACTATTTAAAAATGTATTTATTGCTTTTTGAAGTATTCTCCGCGAAATTTGACACATTTTTCCATACGATGGAACCAATCATTGAAACAACCATTCCAGTGGGAAGTTGGGGTCTCCAAAATGGCCGTTTGTAGGCGTCCACAGCTACTTCAGGTGATGAAAATCTGTCCACGCAATTTATTCTTTATTTTAGGGAAAGTATAGAAATCATTAGGGCTTAGGTCGGGGCTGTACGGCGGATGGTCTAATAATTCTATGTTTTCTTGCTCTAAAAACTCTTTTGTTCTGTGTGCGGTGTGAGAACTCGCATTGTCGTGATGGAGAATGATGCGGCGGTTGCAGTTCTCTTTACGGAGTTCAGAAACGACCTGTGGCAAACAAATGCTAGCATTCCATTCTGCATTAACCGTTCTTTGTCCCTCAAGAGGAATAGTCGTAACATGGCCGGTTTTGGAGACAAACTTGACCACAATTTTTGTAGGCTTTAACTCATTTTCGAACACCCAAACTCGTAACTGGTTTTTTGTTTCGGGTTCGTACGCGTATATCCAGGATTCGTCACCTATAACGATGTTGTATACAGTATTTGAGGGTCCTGCGTGGAATCTTTCGAGAGTTCTGACGCACCAAGTAACGCGAGCCGCTTTTTGCTCTTCACAGAGCGAATGCGGTATCCATCGGGAAAACAACTTTTTTACACCTAATTGTTCATGCAAGATTATTTGTATTTGACTCATGCCAATGTCTAAAGTTGCCTGAATTTCGCGGTATGTCACATGTCGATCTTCCTCAATCAGCTTACGCACAGCATCAACGTTTTCTTGGGTGACTGCAGTTTTTGGACGACCTTGACGGGGATCATCACTGAGCTTGACACGTCCACGTTGAAATTCAGCAAACCAGCGATAAATTGTGGTTTTGGATGTGGCTTCATCTCCAAATGCAGAAATCATCCGGTCAACACACTGTTTTTGTGTTAAACCACTTCGAAAGTCATAATAAATCATCGCTCTTGAATTTTCTCGAGTCAATTCCATTTTCTCAACGACGAACGGGGAAGAAAGGTTATCGAGTGGCAGCCTCGTACCGGCAGGCGAAGTGTTGGGCGTCCCCCCACTAAATGGAGTGACGACCTGGTAAGATATACAGGAAGTCGATGGATGCAGGTGGCTCAGGACCGTGCTTTGTGGCATTCCTTGGGGGAGGCCTATGTTCAGCAGTGGACTTATGAAGGGCTGTAATGATGATGATGATGATGCCCCAATACGAGTTGCAAACTTCACATGTATTTATCACATAAATAGCAGCATCTCGATGCTTTTAGTTTATACTAGATCTACTCCTATTATTGATCAAAAAATAAATTAACAATCGTTGAATATCACGTGGTCGAATGTGACGCATCTTATTAGTATCTAGCCACTTACTTCACTTATTTAAGTACTTTGTTCTTGTCCAAATAAATCGATTAGGTAATGTTCGGGTCAATGGCGATTCACAAAGCATAATTTAGATCTGAACCTATTTCTACTCGCGCTCGTGTAGCTCCACATTTATGCCTTTATTCATAGTTGTGGTCGAAATTAGGACATCAGCGTAATTTATGCACTCAAAAAATAGATTTGTTGATTTACAGTTTGGCATAATCTAGTAAGATGGCGAGTAAGAGTCCGGAGCGGTTCGAGTCACAGGAGGCATTGAGCGCGGCGCAACGCGCGCGCATAGAACGTAACCGACAACGTGCGCGTGCACTGAAGGAAGCGCGCATCGTACATCGTCCGCCGTCTGTATTCTGATTACTTTTATGAATTAATTACCTTCGGTAGATAGATTGCATCGAAATCCTCATTAATATATTTTCAGAACAAACGACGCTTCAGACGTACGGGAAATATCGGTGGGCAAAACGCGCGCCCTCGATACGGGAGGGGGCTTCCTTCTGGAGGAGGAAGGTGCGGACGCCGCCTCGGCCCCGCGCGCCGCGCCGCCCGCGCCGCTCGTGCACCGCACCGAGCAGCCGCGCTGCCTCGAGTGCGACCGCCTCTTCCCGCAATCTTACCTGTTCGACACTTTCGACTACAGCGTGTGCGACGAGTGCAGGTACGAATAGGGCTTGGGTCGTCGAAGCGTCACCACGAGGACGGCACACTGACGGAAGCTCGTCCGGCAGGGACGAGGAGGCGCACGCGCTGGTGACGCGCACGGAGGCGAAGAGCGAGTTCCTGCTGCAGGACTGCGACCTGGACATGCGCTCGCCGGCGCTGCGTTGCGTGCGGCGCCGCAACCCGCACCGCGCGCGCTTCGCGGAGATGCGGCTGTACCTGCGCGCGCAGGTGGAGGCGCGCGCGCTGGCCGTGTGGGGCTCGGCCGAGCGCCTGCAGGCGGAGCGCGCGGCGCGCCGCCAGCGCCGCGAGCGCACGGAGCAGCGGGCCGCGGCGCGCCGCCTGCGCGCGCTGCGCATGGACGTGCGCTCCAGCCTGTTCGACCGCACGCACGCGCCGCACGACCACCGCTTCGCCGACGAAGTGTACGACGCCGACGCCGACGAGTACTCGCGCACCTGCCTGGACTGCGGACATGTGCAGACGTACGAGAAGATGTAAGTGGCGTGACGTGTCGCGTCGCCGCCATATTTAAAGCCGCCTCATAAAAAGTGCCACTTGCGATCGTCACGGGATATACGCGATTATACTTTTAACGCATACGTCGCTCCATATCTACGAACGGACTCGATCACATGCCGATGCCTTATTGTGAAAAAGGTCAGAATTAATGCAAGGACTCGAGCGTATAATATTTGCTGTGCCGCATGTGAGTCCAATAATAAGCAACCTCAATATAAATGAGAATTCAATTCGATTGCTTTCGTTCAAAACTAAAATGGTATTTCACAAACATATTTTGCATCCGATAAAAATAAAACTGATGCTAAACGGTCAAACGATGGCAATTCAAAAATTATACCTCTAATTGTTGAGACTTGCAAATGTTACACTGGTAATCTATGAGTGGACAAAACTGATGCATACACCACTCCCCTATCAATCACATGGATTATATTCCTAAAAAAACTAATGAACAATTTTTATTTTATACATATTTTAATTGGATTAATTATACTAATAATAACGTATCGTACTATAATAAACAATTTTGCATTAAAGTAACAATAATTTCTACTTGAATCGAATCGAAGCTTGTCAAATGCTCTTGAAAATTATGAGAATTTTTAAAATATGCTATTTAAATACAATAGTATTAACACAAAAACAACATCTTTTAATCGTGAAATGGCATTAAAAATTTTATTTGTTTAGGTGTTATTCACAGTGCAAGAAAGTGTGTCTCAAACAACCAAGTTTATGGTAATTTAAGTGAAAAATATTGTTATGTAAGAAAATAAAAGTCTTATGTACAAAGATTGTGTATAATTTAATGTTAAAAAGTTAATGCTCGTCCTTGAGGTACATGAGATCGTCGCTGACGTCACGAGCCGAACAATGTTACGGCCTCCAATACTTATGGTGTTCACCTTAAACCTCTTTTTAAGTGAAAAATATTTGCACTGAATACATTGTTTTAATGAAAAATACATATGAAACAAATGCAACACGTGATCATTTAGACAATTTTATGAATTAAATAAGAAAATAACACTAAATAATAGTTAACGATGTTAGATAGCTTTCAAATCTTCCGGTAAATCATTCTTGGGATGTTTGTTCTCAAAATGCTGCTTGTAAGTCTTAGGGTCTGGCATCTGCGCCTGAAATTAAAATATATCATTATAAAAGTTCAACATCCTTTGAATAGCTCATTAGATTACTAGTAGCATGCCAAACATTTTACTGATGAGACATTGGCTAGTCACCTTACAGTAATGCTATTACTTTGGCAGTCATATTATTATTATTATTAATTTTAAAACACAACAATTAAAATATTTAAACCTACACCTGTTAGAAAAAATTATCTCAGTGTGTCTCAGTCAAACCTGAAAAGATAAATTAGAGATGAAATGAATAGTGATTTTGTCAGATACACAAATATATACATTAGTACAAAGTAAAGCTAGCCCATGCAATATCATGTAAATCACTATTTATTTTTGTTTAACTTTGCGTAAATTATGTCACTGAGGATATTTAGCGTAGCTTAGTGAGCTATATAATTCTGACCTATAGTATGGCGGTTCTGCTAGCTATGAGTAGTAATGTGATGAACTCGGCACTATGACACAAATGCTATCAAAACTCAAATTAAGTATATAAATACAACAATATGAACTTGAAATGAAACAAGGACCATGGTGGATCCAGACCCCCACGATAAGGCTGAAGAACGATTTCTTATATTTACGTGAGCACTACACATTGAATAAGACTACTTTTACAGATATTATCGCGCGTAATTATACTTATTTTTAAATTCCCGAAGTTTCGAGTGCTTTCCAGCACCCATGGTCACGGGGAACTCAGGTGATTGACGTCCCGATGTCAGAATTAACCCGGAGTACCTTCAGCTTTTTAATTATTAGTTTTGGTTCGATCTACATAGAATGAACTTACTGTGTCCTGAAGTCTTGCAGTGGTATACTTGGGTTTAGTTTTAATTTTATTAATTACAGGATCCCAAGCAGGTGGTAGTACCCAACCTCCCTCTCTATTGAAATTAGGATGTTCTTTAATTTCAATAGCCTCACGTATCATTCTTTGTAGGAATCTATGTTCTTTCGCGAATATGTGGTCTTTCAAATCTAATATAATTGCAGTGGCCCTCTAGGATATGATCATAAACTTCAGTCTTCCCGGAACACCAATGTTCCAATAATTAAAAAGCTGAAGGTACTCCGGGTTAACTCTGACATTGGGATGTCAACCACCTCAGTCCCCCATGACCATGGGTACTAGAGAGCACCCAAAACGACGGGAATTTAAACATAAGTATAATTAAAAGTGATAAAATCCGAAAAAGTAGTTTTAATAAAATAAGAGAATTAGCTTTAGGTGCCATAGGGTCTGAATGAATTATACCAATTTTGTCTGAGTATATTCATTCACTGGTATGTAAACACTACAATGAATTAACAATCATATATCCATAGGTGCTTACTGAGACTAAACAAGTTACAGATCAGGATTGCCACAAGTGCTATTACTGGACAAGGTTCTTGGTGTTACTGACAATCCCATGTACAGGGGATGTATAAAGGAGCAGGAAACAGGTGTGTCAGCAGGGTGCCACATACAAGGTTAAACATCTCGGTGCACCGAGATCGATACCAGAGGTTATCGGTAACATCAAGAGACTGCTGAACTTCTACAGGATTTCATAGTTCGAATAATTACACTTTTGCTTGGGCAAACCATACGTAAAATATGCACTTTAAACGAACAGCTGCGAAAAATAGCTTGTTACATACTAAACTAACAAATTATATGTATGTACACTTTGGGAGTTTTAGTTACAATTGATTATTGCTTATTTTTGTTTAAAAGTTAAGCAAATGATATAACTGAGGATATTCAGTCAGTATAAATGGACAATTTTGTACTTGACAAAAATGCAGAATGACGAATCATCATTTAATGCCAACAATTTGTCTTTTTCTGTCTGTTTAAATATCCAGTGATGATACACAGGATTAATTCTACTTACTTACCTTACCTATTCCAGTGGTATTCCGTGGTAGGGGTGCATTACAACAGCAGAAAGGGCAACATAAAAAAATTACGACATTAAATATAGTAATTTTTTTTTACTTTACCTTACAGATGACACAAACATGCACAAGGGCTTTTAGTGCAGCTTTCTTCTGCTCTGTAGCACTGTGTCCTTGTTGTTTCTTAAGCTTTGATAATTTTTCTGCAGCCTTGGCTTGAGATTGAATTTTCTGATGTCCTCGAGCCATTCTTTAAAGTATGAGTATAAAATTAATTATTATTCAAAGTAAACAATACTTCAGCACACTTAATTACACACAAATTCATAAACATACATCTTAAAGTAAATATTAATTTTAACAAGTAGCAAGAGTGACTTCACTTGACAAGCCCGGGTATGGGTAATAATACAAAATGTGATATGGCACAATGAGTTAACTTAGAGCGCCAACAAAGAAAGCTGTAGCTGAGTTATTATGCTAACTTAAGAATTTATGCTGAATTGCCCAGGTCGAGTGCTGAAGTAAGTATTTAAATAAGGCACACTAAATCAAAACAATTTTAAATTTTCCATATGGTGCGTATCTACAATTATTAATGACATAATACATTCTTTCTATCGGATTTAATCAGAACTATAATTCTGTCTTCCATAATATTTTGTTTTTGTAATTAAAGGATATAATACATACCTGCCCTTCAAATCCAAAAATGTGTAAGTACTAAAATAAAATGATGAAAATGTTAAGTTGAAAATGTATCAATGGGAAATAATGCGAACCACTTAAAGGGCACCGATACCAATATAATCGTCTAGATTATACTTTTTATCAGAACCAGCAGGAAATAAAGTAAAATATGAACAAATGAATTAAATTATTACACTTTCTAATCTGTGGCGAGTTGCGACAGAACAGAGACAGACGCAGCGTTGCCACTTGCCAACACCAATTTGTCAAATTCCCCGAAAACCCATGTCAAATTCCCCAATTTAAGGACAAAACTTCAACATATTCCCCACGAATTCCCTTCAATTTTATTTTAAGAAATGAAACAATTTTTAACTAATTTTATAAGATTTATTTTTTAACTAACATTTTTTTAATTTTACCGGAAACAATTTTTCCACATTCCATATTTTTGTAACAAGCATTTTACTCCATGGAGTATTTTTAATTTCTTCACATGTTGCCATTAAAAAGTACCACATTTATATGCATGCAGTCCTCGGCTTTAAAATTTAAAAAAATAAAAGTTTGTGTGTGTACTTATGTACTCACGCAGGAGCAGGAAGTACTAGTAAGTAATACTATACTTATTTAGCGTAACAAAACAAAATTTTACTCCATGGAGTATTTTTAATTTCTTCAAATGTTGCCATTAAAAAGTACCACATTTATATGCATGCAGTCCTCGGCTTTAAAATTAAAAAAAAAATAAAAGTTTGTGTGTGTACTTATGTACTCACGCAGGAGCAGGAAGTACTAGTAAGTAATACTATACTTATTTAGCGTAACAAAACAAAATTTTACTCCATGGAGTATTTTTAATTTCTTCAAATGTTGCCATTAAAAAGTACCACATTTATATGCATGCAGTCCTCGGCTTTAAAATTTAAAAAAAATAAAAGTTTGTGTGTGTACTTATGTACTCACGCAGGAACAGGAAGTACTAGTAAGTAGTTCTATACTTATTTAGCGTAACAAAACAAAAATATTTGAGAGACAATTACCCACTGAAGTTGTCGCTTTCAGGTGTCAGTGTGCGCGCGCATCCTATCAACTTTATAGTGTCGTTTTTTGGTGTCGGTGTGCGCGCGCATCGTAAGAAATCAATCTCATCTTTTTTCCCAAAACGCCCCAAAAGAAGTATAAATTCAATAAAGAAATAAAAAGCATTCGAGCAAGTCATCACTCATCATTATCATTACAGCCTTTCATAAGTCCACTGCTGAACAAAGGCCTCCCCCAAGGAATGCCACAAAGCACGGTCCTGAGCCACCTGCATCCATCGACTTCCTGCATGTCAAGCTTACTAATACGTTGGGCTTTGTCGGTTACTCTGGTTCTACTGCGGATATACTCATTTCTAAGTTTATCACACAGAGAAACCCCGAGCATAGCCCTCTCCATAGCTCGCTGAGCGATCTTGAGCTTCCTCATACGGCCAGCAGTGAAGGACCAAGTCTCAGATCCGTAAGTCATCACTGGCAACACGCACTGGTTGTGTAAATGTGGTGCAAAGCAGATAATTAAACAACGGGATTTATGTGATATTCATAAGTAACCTAACAAAAACGTTAAGTATTTAGCTAACTAAAAACAGGTTCTGACTTGGCCCGGGTTGTCAATTTTCAAAACCCCGCATTTTCCCCTCAATAGCATTCCATAAAAAATCCCGAACGAACTTTAAATTCCACGCAATTTGGGATATTCCCCACATGTGCTAACATGTGGGAAATATGATATACGCTGGACAGACCCACCAGTATTACCAACTCCAAAAAATATTAACCCCTAAAGCTGTCATAAACCCCCAAAATCGTCAATTACTTGAAAAATACCCCGTAAAAAAACAATTTGCGTTTCGTGATAGTCTTTATTTATAAATTATTTAATATTTGAAATATAATTTCGTTTTCTTCCGGTTTGGACTTTTAAAAATCGTACATTTGGAAATGAAATAAGCCTAATACTTTAGTGCATGGATTAAATATTTTGCAATATCTACAAATTCGTTGTAATGTAAATCGAACCATCATCATTACTTTGTAACATTTTAATATATAACCCATTCCGCGACTTATTTTTGACAGCATTGTAGATAGAGAACGCGCACTCGATATTTGAATTCTTTTAATTTAGCTCTGCATAAAGTAACGAGGAAGTGTACTAGACATCGCTTGTTCTCTCACTTTGAGTTTGACAATCGCTACTTCAACAAATATATGATTGGCTAGATTGGATCACCCAAAGTCTACAACTATCAATAAGCGGCCAAGTGTGAGTCGTTCTCGCCCATGAAGGGTTCTGTAGCAGCAAGTAACATAATTTACGATTTATGACATTTAAAAAATACTACTTACTAGATCTCGTTCAAACCAATTTTCAATGGAAGTTTACATGGTAATGTACATCATATAGTTTTATTAGTTTTATCATTCTCTTATTTTAGAACTTACAGGTGGGAGTACACATTTTACCATTTTACAAGTGTCTCTCGCGCAAACTATTCAGTTTAGAAAAAAATTATATAAGAAACCTCAACATCATTTTTGTAGACCTATCCATAGATACCCCACATGTATGGGTTTGATGAAAAAAAAGTTTTTGAGTTTCAGTTCTAAGTATGGGGAGCCCCCAAAATTTATTGTTTTTTTTTTTCTATTTTTGTGTGAAAATCTTAATGCGGTTCACTGAATACATCTACTTACGAAGTTTCAACAGCATAGTTCTTAAAGTTTCGGAGAAGTGGCTGTGACATACGGACGGACAAATAGACAGACATACGTGAAGAATCCATAAGGGGTCCGTTTTTTGCCATTTGGCTACGGAGCCCTAAACAGTCCTTAACCCTATACTTGGCAAGAAAAAATATTTTAGAAATTCTGAAAAAAATAATCTTAAATATGTTCTTGGGTGGTTATTGAAGGAATGAAAAAAAATAAAAAATAAATAATATAAGTAATTCAGCATTTATTGATTGTATCATATTAGATACATTGCCAGGATCTTAACAATCAACGCTATGAAATCTACGTATCTAATTTGCAACACTGCCAGTCTTTGAGTGAAGTTAATAAATGAGTTTTACATATAATTGTAACAAAACAAAACCTAAAATGTCAACATTCTCAGTTATATAACAAAAAAATAAAACATAATTATTTTGTACTTCTACATACGTATAAAAATTTACATAAATAACAGCATTTATATCTAAATATAAATTATTGGTAAATTGAGATCAATCATAAAAATCAAGTCAAAAATATGTCTTCTTATGTACAATTAAAAATAAAATATAAATAAATAAATAAAGTATTATTTTTCAGTATGGTATACTATGAAACAATTACGTTCCGGCAATAAGCACAACCTTAAATTACATATTCGACAAAAAATAATTTAGTCAGTCCTTTTGTGCAATACATTAACCTTCCTCTGCTGGTTATTATAGTTTTATAATGGAGCAACTTGATCATATCGAACAGCATCTGGTGGTCTTTCAGCTGCTGGCTTCTATGTATATAGTGTTGGTTGATTTCATGCCAGGCCTGCTGATATCGCTCATATCAGTTCTTTAATAACTTCGTAAGCTTTAAAAAAATTCCATCCTAAAGTTTAAAAACTTTTGAATTTCGTTTTTTGATATCCATTCTGGCTTTTCTTTCACGGCGATATAGAAGCGAGGAATTGTTTATACGTGTCCAATAATAAGTAAATTAAGTAAATACCAACGATGGCCTCGGAATAGCGTACGATATAGAGCGTCCAACATGTCGGCGAGATCAACACCAACCCTGTTAGTGCTATATTCTTTTATTAAATTGGGACAAGTCACTGGCACTTTTCTACCTTCTTATTTCTTGTGTAGAATACGCATCCACAAAAGTACTTGCAGCAATAACACATTTGACAACCGCAATCTTGTTTTTATTGCATACGACTTGTGCATGAGATCCTCTACCCTTTTTTAAGTTTTTTTAACTGTGGGTAGTTTTTCTCCACTTTTCGGAGACCGTTTGCTCGGACTGTACCCGTTGTAAAAAATGCCGCCTTCATTGCGTGAATATTGTATCAGCTCAATAGATATTAAAAAGTTATCCAAACACAGGATTTTACTCTGTGCATTACTATGAAAAGTCTAGCCTCTTTGAACGAGTAGCTGTTGAAGGAGAAGGTGCAAACAATGGCGACGGCAGTGGTAACTGATTACGCCGCCTGAAGTTACTAACTCTTGATGAAGGTACTTGTGAGGGAGTAGCGAGTATAGATGGTGACAATGGTAATGGTACCGGACAAGAAGAACTAGTCTCATTTGCTGATGGATTGGGCGAAAAAATTGATGGCGAACAAGGATTGATAGATGGTAATGACATTGATGACAGTTGATGTAGTACTAAAGGTGTTGAAGCAACCATCTGATTTACCTCATTATCATCATCTCGGAGAAGATTTAGGTTTTGTATTGAATATGGGAGTGATGGAGGTAGTGAACTGCTGTCGGAGTGCGTAGGGCGGGTGTA